TCTTGGATGACCCTTCTTCTGCCTACTCACTAGTATCCTTCAGGATTTCCCTGATGGAGAACAGTCTCTAGAGATTCATGACCCTAACACAGGCAGACAGGTATTAATTCCAACATGCCCTCAAAACAGACTACAACTTCTTCCACAATTCATAAATTCTGAAGATGAAGAAGACTACTTCACATGCAAGGAAATGCATTGCCATATGAACAGCCTGAGCAGGGTTTTTAGTGTTGGTGTAGGGAATGGGTTTGAGTTCCCTAGGAGAAGTCATCTTGGTCAGGGGTTTAGGGGTTGAGGGACTTGTTTTGTTTCTTGTTTTGTTTTCATGTTTGTACCACTGGACTTAGTGGTGAGCAGCCACATTGCTGACTAAGCATGTGCACTGTGTCTGTGCAGGTTCAGTTTACCAAAAAAAACAAATCCATGTCACAGGCCCTCAGTAGTAGGGTGATTTTGTCTCACATTTTGGCAAGTTTTTGAAGTTAGAATTGTTACTTTGGGGAGTACCCAAAGGGCCAGGAGGACTGGCAAGAGGTATTAGACAGGCAGAGCTAAGTATTCATTTCAGTTCGCATTTTTACATTTTTACTACACTTCTTTCTCCAGAGAGAACCTCCCTTTTGGGTCAAGCACTATACTAGCCCATTTACTGATAATTACTGTTTCTAGGTATCTTCTTTTACCTATTCCTACATCAGTCAATGACTTGTTTGGATCACAAGGAGGCCATGATAATCTTTTCTCCATGTGTTCTCTCTATGTTTCTGATCCTCCTTTATTACCTTTGAAGACTACTACCCTTTTGCCTACAGACACTTTCAAAAATGCTGCTGCAGCATTTATCTACAATTTACAAAGCAACAGTATGCCCCCCATTGATCCATTTGATGTTAGTTCTGTTTCTTCAAATGACCCCTTCTTATTTTCCACTGGCACTACCATTTCACCACTAACAATTTCAGCTTTACATTCTACTTACCAGTTTGATCCCATTCTTCATGTTTTAAAGTACAAACCTGTAGTGAAGAAGGTCAGGCCTGTACCAACATCAATGCCTGTGGAATTCCAGGTAGAGTGTCAGGAGGCTGAAGATCCTCTCACAGATTTACCTGTATTACCTGCCCACCCTCCTCCATTCATGCCAGGTTCCAGGTTTACCCAGGGAAGAGCTGATGAGCTTGATCTGGACCCTTCAAAGTTCCTCTTGCCTGTGGAGTTAAATCTGGTATGATGGCTGGTCAAGACACATGAGGCCACCTTCACTTTGGATGCCTCAGAAAGAGGAACCTTTCAAGAAGATATGTTTCCACCCTTGAAGATACCTACACTAGCCCACAAGCCTTGGGTCAAGTGGAATATTCCCATACCCCCAGCCATTTTTTGCAATGTTGTCAACATAATCAAAGAAAAGATTTCCACAGGTGTCTATGAGCTATCTACTTCATCCTATCACTCAAAATGGTTCTGCATAGTCAAGAAGGATGGAAAGTCTCTGTCTTGTCCATGACTTACAACCTTTAAATGCAGTATCTATACAGGATTCAGCCATTCCTCCTTTCATTGACTCAATTGCAGAAGCTTTTGCCTGCCATTCCATCTATGGAATTTTAGATCTTATGGTTGGATATGATCATCACACCATCCATGACAAATACTGCTGTAGGAAATGAGAGAATTGTTTTAAGAGGGAGGTTGAGAGAACAATGAGATCTGAGGGGAGAGAGTAGGCCAAAAGGGGCTTCTATAGCCTGAGACTGGATCCTGGTAGTCATCTGAAGGCTTCTATGGCTGTCTTGGTGCATGGAATGACCTGCTTGAGCTCATCTCTTGTGTCTAAAGGAAAAAACCATACACAAGTAGCACTACTGCTGACTAAGTAACCAAAAAAGCGAAATCTAAGTATAACTTGTGGAAAAAGTATCTAGGAATGAAAACCAAGTAAAACAAGGAAAATAAACCAATTCCCCTGGTAGGGAAATTACATTCCCTACACTATGACCTTACCACTTTCCAAACCCCTATCAGCACTCTATGACTCACTAAGGTACCTATGGGCTACATTAATGCCATCCAGAATTTCCACAGAGACATCTGTTGGATATTAAAGGATGAAATTCCAGAAGTTACCATCCCATTCATCAATGACTGCCCAATCAAGGGCCCCAAATCTCATTACCAAAATTCCAACAGTACCTACCAGATGATCGTACAAAACCCCAGGATCAGATGTTTCATCTGGGAACATCTGCAGAACATCAACCACATCTTACATCATCTATGTCATGCAGGAGCTACTGTCTCAGCAAAGAAATGTGTCATTGCTGCACTGTCTATCATAGTGGTTGGGCATAAGGTGTCATTTGAGAGGAGAATTCTGGATGAAGCTAAAGTCCAAAAGATTAAAGACTGGCCCTACTGCACAAACATTACTGAAGTGCATGGATTTTTAGGTCTTTGTTTGTATTGCAGGATCTTTATCAAAGACTTCACTAAACACACATGTCCCCTTGTTGAGCTGACCAAGAAAGACATCCCCTTTGAATTCTGTGACAAACACAGAGAAGCCATGGAATATCTTTGTCAGGCTATTGTCTCATCCCCTGCGCTATGTACTATCAACTACAATTCTGAAAGGAAGGTCATTCTAGTGGTCAACACTTTGAATATTGCTGTAGGATACCTCCTCATGCAGGAGGGGGAAGATGAACAATGTTACCCTGCAAGGTTCAGCTCAATAACTCTCAATGACTGTGAGTGCTGCTACAGCCAAGCTAAACTCAAGCTCTTTGGTCTTTTCTGTGCCTTACATGATGTCAGACTGCACATATTTGGCATGTGGAATTTAGTTGTTGAGGTTGACACATGGTATATCAAGGGGATGATTTACAATCCCGATTTACAGCCCAATGCAACCATTAATTGCTGGATTTCCAGAATCCTTCTATTCAACTTTGAGCTTGTACATGTCCCAGCACACAAACACACAGCACCAGATGGACTGTCAAGGAGGCCCAAAGCAGAAGAAGTTGAGGATGGGGAAGGGGATTACAAGGACTGGATAGATGAGTGTGGAGCTTTCACTGTTGAACTCTTGAATCATAGGGAGGCCCATTTTGAGTCTCAGCCTCACCCTTCAGAAATTCTGAGTACCCTGTCAGACTCACCCTCTGCCATACCACAGAGTCTAGGCATTTTCCTCTCTGAACAATCTTTGCTGCATAACTATGAAACAGAAATTCTGTGATCAGAGAAAGTGATCCAGAGAGAGGAGAGGTTAAAAGTGGTGAAGGAGTTTTTGGAGATGAAGAAGATGCCAGAAGGATTGAAGGAAGGGGAATTGGAGAGCCTGGTATGTCTCACCATGTGGTATTTCATTAAAGGAGGAGAACTGTGGAGAAAAGAGCCTCAAGGACATCACCAACTAGTAGTCACCCCACACAAACACCTTGGAATTCTTTGTCAGGCTCATGATGAGCTAGGGCACAAGGGTATCTTCTTGACCCACATGCATTTGCTGACTCATTTCTGGTGGCCTATGTTAGAGCAGGACATCTACTGGTACATCAAGTCATGTCACAAATGCCAAATCTGCTGTTTGGATCGCATACATATTCTGCCAGTCATTGCCATTCCAGAACCCCTATTCTACAAAGCATACATGGACATGTTCTCAATTCTGAAGTCAAATGGGTTTCACTACATCACCCAAGCTTGCTGTTCACTCACAAGCTATCCAGAGTGGGCTATGCTTCATGCAGAAACTGGAAAATCCATCAGAAAATTCATCTTCGAACAAACCTTGTGCCACTGGGGTGCAGTCACAGAGATTGTTACAGATAATGGCAGACCCTATGTCCTTACCCTCAACTGGCTTTCCAAGACCTTTGGAATTTGCCACATATGTATCTCCCCCTATAACTCACAAGCTAACAGAGTTGTTGAGCAGTGGCATTTTGATGTGAGGGAGGCATTGGTGAAAAGTTGTGGAGGAAAGGCATCAAAATGGTCCAAAGTTGATCCTGCAGTATTCTGGGCAGAGAGGGTTATTATTCACAAGGCAACTGGGTTTTCTCCATTCTACATGGCTCACAGCATCAAACCTAGACTTCCTTTTGACCTTGCTAAGGCAACATTCTTAGCCCCTTTCCAGGTGGAATTTTTCTTGATGACAGAACTCATCACTCACCATGCTCATCAACTTCAGAAATGTCTAGAAGACCTTGCCCACATTCATGATCTAGTGCTTAAATCCCACTTCACCTCTGTCAAAGATTTTGTCACTCACTTCAAACATACAATCAAAGACTTCAACTTTGAACCAGGGTCACTTGTCCCTGTGTGGAATTCATGTATTGAGTGAGAGCTTGATTGCAAGACCAAACTGCAGTACCTAGGCCTGATGATCATCATCCATTGCACCAAAGGAGGTTCATACATCCTGGCACAATTAGATAGTGCCATGTCCAAATTCCATTTTCCACCTTCCATCTTTACCCCTATTTCCTGCAGAACACCTCCTGTATTGAAGTCATGCAGTTTCCTGGAATTTCTGCATGCAACTTAGATCACCTGGAAGACAATTCACTACCAGACCCTGCACTTGCTGGTGTCCCTGTGGATGAGTCAGATGAGTAGCATATCTCTCTCTACCCTTTTGTTTCTTTTCTTTTCTCTCTCTTTTTCCATCTTTCTTTCCACTTATACATATACCCATCTTCATCTCATATAAAGCAAAACCAACTCTGCTCACAAGAAAACAGTTGTCTCACCAACAAAAAAAATTCTGCTCATCTCTCTCTCATCTCTTGTCTCTCACCAATTTGTTCTCTTTTCCTGCTCCTTACCTAATGATAATTCTGTTCAAAATACCCAAAGACACATCTAAAACAATTCTGCAGTCTGTTTATGCTACTGTACACATACTTACATATCCTTGAGCTGATCCTTCACCCTCTTCAGCTCCTTGCATCACCCCTGAACTGCACCAATCTGCCACTCTACTTGCATAGCCAACAGCCCAGCATCTGATGGATCTGGGTCAGTTCAAACTCTTCATCATCTGCCCTGTTCTCCAGAAGTTGAATGCACTCAGCAAGAGCCTCATGTGTAGTCATATCACCCAGGTTTGTGACCAGCAGAGTTTCTTTGACTGGGGGAACTTTGGACAGGTCCTGCACACTGACATCAGGTGCAGTTGGATTGTCCAATAATCCAGTTGGTCTACCAAAGAGTCCACCATCACTGAGGTCTCCCAGATATTCCATAGGTGGTGGAGTTGGCTCAGGGTGAGGTTGAGGTGCAGGGGTTGCTGATGGAAGGAAAAGAGGTGGTCAAGGTGTGGGAGGAGGAGGCATGTTCAAGGTTGAAGGGGGACTAGCATGAAGTGTTGGGTGCCCAGGAGTTGGTTCAGAGTTTTGCCTAGGGGGTGGTTTGCATGCAGGGGTTCAAAGTTTCAGCCCAGTCATCACCAGAGTTTTGGTTGTCACCATCACCATTACTGACTTGGTCTGTTTGTGTGATGGCCCAGCAGCTGTCTCTCCACTACCAGTGTTCTTGCACTGTGTTATGTGACTGGCTGCACTTCTGCTTGGCCTGCCTGCATCACTCGCACAACTCCCCAGGTAGCCCTTTGTGCACTCCCTGCATGGAAGGTTGGCATAAGGTGCTGGAGCACCAGCTTTTGATGGGTCTGGGTTAGGTGGGTGGTCACCTTCATCATTCTCCAGCTCATTGACTTTGTCCATGGCCTGTGGAGTTTTTCTGAATGTTAGCCATCATGCTCAGAGTCTCCCAGAGGGTAGGATGTACCTTTTCCTTACCCTTCCCCTTGCCTGTACTATCTGTATGTTGCCTCACTTGTCCTCCAGTCCCCCTCAAAGACTCCCCTGCTCCAGTGTCACTGGGTGCACAGCCTTGACCTTCACCTATTGCCATTGCTGCCTGTCTGCACATGCATGTAGAAGGCTCTCTTGTCAACCTCTCTGCCTCAAGCTGTGCCCTCAACTCTACCCTCTCCTGGTAGTCTTCGAAGATGTTAATGTAGATCCATCTCTGCTCCACTGGGCACCAGAGGTCAGCAATGGCAATGGCACCCAGGACTAGAAGGTTTTGGCACATCACAGATTCCTTGGTGTAGTCATGCATGCACTTATCACAAACCTTTGGTATGGAAATTCCATTGTCATTGACATATCTCCACCATGAGTGAATGCTGGCCTGCAGAACTCTGTCAAAGTGTGACACACTACTGTGGAAGGTTTAGTCACCCATGTCTTGTCCCAGTCCTCCACCCACACATAGACAGTCTCCAAACTCTCCTCTGGCTGTGGCACTGCCTCAATCAGCTCCCAGATGTGCCCTAGAGCTGTGGTGAGCACTGTGGTCACCTGGTCCCTCATGCTGAACATGGGGCACATATTGTTGATGGAGTAAGCTTGCATGGTAGTTGGCAAAGGAAGCAAGAATCTGAGCACAGGATGGTGGGGTAACAAGGATGAATCTGATGATGAGACAGTTTCTGGGCAAGTTTTTTTCCACAGGGCTGTTGCTGACACACTATCTGTGTGTGGGGTTTTTGCTCACACAAAGTGCATGGCAAAACATGAGCCATCTTTGTTTATGTCACCTGCCGAATCCCCACTGCCCTTCTGTCATGACTTGATGACCTCTGACTGAGGACAGTCAGCATTTGAAGACCCTGGGAGGTGTAGGGAGTGGTATACTCCCTGAGGCCAAAATAGGGATGCAAACACCAAAATTCTGCCATTACCAAAGTTGACCCCTATCAGAGTTCCACATCTGTCATCTTTGGAATTATTGCATCAGCCTTGTGCATCAGCCTCATGCACTGCCTTGCCCATCGAACCTTTGGAGCTCCCCTGTCCATCAATAACACACACCAGTCATTGTCCCAGAATTCTGTGTCAACATCAACCTGGCATACTTCCATCTGGAATTCTGCAGTCATGTCACCTCATCCTTTGCCTCACCACATAGCCAGGAAATTGCACAGATCATCAGTAATAAACTCCAGTTACCCTTATTGTTCCTTTCCCATGAATCTTTCTCCACAATGTGAGAACCCCTTTGCATCTATGGCCTCTATCCTTTGCATATGCTACTCTATGGTATGTGGTATGCTTGTTCTGGTGAAAGATACCCATCTTTCCCTTTTGTTTCTCTCAGTTACTGCTTTTCAGTTTGTTTTCATATGATTCTGTAGTGCATTGACATCTGTCATGTCTCCCTTTATTTTTCAGAATTTTTACTTCACCTGCCCCACATCATCCTGATCAGTACCTTACTCTCCATGTACTATATAATTCCGCCTCAGTGACAGAAAAATACCACCCCATCTTTTGGAGTCACTATCCAAGTCATTTGTGTGTCTAAGTGTTCAAAGTGTCTGCTGTGTCCTCTGTGTCTACTGTGTCATCTGCATTTCTAGCATCAATCTGCATCTACCATGTCTTTCATGTCCCCTGCATATCTGTGTCTTGCCTTCATGTCTCACAAGTCTTGGAATTACTTCCTCATGCCAAGATTATCACTTGGCATTTTGTAAACAGGTCTATTCAGACCCAAATCATCTACAATGCTGTGGAATTAAATTCCATGCCCTACATTTAACTTCCTGATTGACTCTACCATCATATTCTATGTCTCCTTCCTACTCAGCACCCCTTGGGTTGAACCTAGGGCTTACCCTACAGCTTTCCCCCTAATTGCATGCTACCCAGAGGTAGTGTCACAGCAGTGTCACACACCAAAGGTGTTGTGGACATGGTTACAGCTGACTCTGCCTAACTCATCAACAAGTTGCATGCAATGCCCATGCCATGCATATGAAGACTAAAGGCCTCATGCATAGAAAGACTGCTGGATGTTAACAATCATCTGTTGCACAAGAATGAGTCATCAGTGCTAAAGAGAAAAGAGGGAGTGAGTTGAGTGCACATCAAGGGTTTTTAGCACCTGTGTATGGCATTCCAGTTTTCATCATATCTCCACCATTTCCAAAGATATTGACTCCATTCTCACACTCACTTAAAGTGCTCAGCCATGTGGTTCTGCCTTCCAGGTTTGGAGAGGATCCTCACACCCTGCATGTTTCTACAGCACTCCATCCATTGGACACTCATTTCACTAAGTCCATCAATCATGGCTGCCTCTTCATCAATCATCTCACTTGTCTCATTTGCCAGAGACAGTGGCTACATATATCTGCCAGGCATTCCCACCAGCTTCTGTCCTGAAGCCCCCTGGTTCATCCCATCATTGTCAGCCCCATCTCATCCCATGCAGCTTTGTCAGTGTGTTCTCCTTGTCAGTATGACTTCCAGAAGGATGTTCTTTGGTCACCTCAGGTCTGTCAATCAGTTAGAAAGGTCTTATGTGGTCATTTTAGTCTCCCCTCTTGATGAAGCATATGGATCATTCCTCCCTGCTCCCTGCACTGTCTTTATTCCAATCTTGTCCATCATTCTTCCTGCATTGTGACAGCTGCAGCATAGTCTACTGTTCTCCAGCCTCCCTGATCACATTCATGATGAGTATGGTATGCATCTTGCCTTCTTACTGCAAGATCCAGCAGAAGACATACCCCCTTCTCCTCCTTCTCCATCAGAGCCCTGTTCATGAAGCTTTTGTTAACTTTGCTGAGAAGATGAAATGGTGGGAGATGCAATTGCTTATGCTCCCATTGCCCCACAGACCCCCAATGCCCTAGCCCCTTTGACACCTGACTCATGCCCTTCAATTCTGGAATTAATACTTCCCTATCTGGAAACACCATCCATCTGTCATGCCATCTTTGGATCTAGAGATGTCTCCACTGAGATCTGACTTGCATCACCACCCCCTAATGTGATATCAGTGTGCTTACTCAGTTTCTGACTCCATTTGACTCATTCTGTGATATTTTAACTGTCTTTGACTCATTTATTGCCAATACCTACCAATCTTCTTTGCTTGCTTACTTTTCATTTCTTGCTTACTCATCATGATTACTCAGTCCTTACTCATTACTTACCAAGTGTTTGTGCCTTGTTTGTCACAAGCTGCACTCCCCCCACAGTATATAAACCCCCATGTACTTAGCTACACCCCCAGTGGACCAGAAGCCATTCACTCAGCAGTCAGTTCAGCTCAGCTCAGCATAACTTGTTGTCAACAGTTGAGGCTCATTCAGAAGAGTCTATCTGTCTTCATTCATATCATTGGTAGTTGAGGCTCTACAAAGGGGTCTATCTACCTCCATCATTATCTGAAGCTTCATCCACACTTAGTCAGTAAGTCTGCTTAGTCATCCATCCACTCCTGCATAACTTGTCAATGACTTGTGCCAGGAGCATATTCTATTGAAGTCCATTACTCCCAAGTACTTTTGGCTGAACACCTTCACTCTGTTCAGCATCCCCTTCTCAATCAGCATTCATTCATCTTCTCCTGGATAACTTATTGATGACTTGCACTAGGAGCACCTGCCATCAAAATTTCCCCCACTTTAGGTTTCTCTGCCCTCCAGGTTCTGCAGAGGTAAACTACCACTTGCTCATATTTGTCTTTGGTGTTGGTTTTGGTTGGTTTTCACCACCTTTCCACACTTTGACTCACAGCAGGACAACTCTTCAAGCCAAAGGGCTTGGATGGTGGCATGATAGACTGGGTCAAGAGGGGAGTTCTCATTGACTTCATGGTAGACAGTGCTGACAACAGCAGGGTCAGTGATGAAAAGGTGGTAGGAAGTGATCATTTGATTGCTGGCAGGTTGTCATTGGTGACAAGCAAAAGAGGTATGATGACAAGAAGGTTCATGGGGGTAGGTGTAATGATGAGGGGGCATTTCAAGGGTGATATTTCTGATAGTATGAGAGGAGCATTGAGTGGGTGGTTTCTGGAGGGGGAAGTCTTTGGGGAAGTGTTTTTTATATGCAGAGAGTGTATCATCTGCATGTTCCAGGTGAGCTTCTTCTTGCCATGAGTTGTTGGAAGAAGGATAACCCTTCCATTTGATTAAAAAGGTGTGTCCATGGTTGGACCTTTTATGGCCAACTATCACCTCTACTTCATATTCTTCCTCCTCATTGATAAGGTCAGGCAGTGGAGTCAGGAAGTTCAGTCTGTGGACATCATTTTCATGATAGGGTGATAGGAGAGAAGAATGGAAGCTGTTGTGGATCTTCTATCATGTGGGAATCATGAGGTGGTAGGTGATCAGAGATAGGACTTTGGAGATGACAAAGGGTCCTTCTTGTTTTGGGGCAAGTTTTCTATTTTTGTAGGAACATTTTAGGTTCTGTGCTTCTAGCCAAACCTTATCACCTTTTTGGAACAGGGTGAAGGGTCCTGACAAGCAGTCCTTCATAGTTTTTCTGGCTAGGTCATGTGTCACAAGGGCTTCTTCTCTAGCCTTTTGGAGTTGTTCGAGTCTAGACTTGGTGGTGGGGAGGTGGGTTTCCACAATCAGGGACAGAAGCAGTTTTGGTTCATATCTGTACATGAGGTAGAATGGTGATTGATGGGTAATGGAATGAGTGTTGGAACATACTGCTGTTCTGCACACTGAGTACTGCTTACATAATATTTCCATACATTTTAGCCACTTCATTTTTCCTTGTACCTCAGACTTTGTCCTACTTTGAAGACCAAGTTTTCACACTCTAGTTTGCCCTGCAACCTTGGTCCCTTCTCAAAAGGTTATGAGCCCCAAGCTCACAGAACTATAGATGAAAACAAATCTTCCCTACCCTTAAGCTCACAAAATGTCAAACCCTTCAGCTTCAACAGCCAGTCCTGCCAAGGCATCAGCTTCAACAACCACTGCCTCAACCACCACTACTCTCTTGTCAGTAAAAAAGCTAAGCAGGCCTCAAGTCATCTCTATGACATACCATCACTTGAAGATGATGGCTTGAATTTCCAGACATGGAAAGTAAGGATCTGCATGGTGCATGACATGCAAGACCTATGGGAAGTTGTTGGTGGAAACACAACTACAGTGCCTGATCCTAAAGTCAACCCTAATGGCCATATGGACTGGTTGATAAAGGACAAAGAGGCACAAGCCCAGATCATACTCACACTGAAAGATGATCCCCTCACTGGAGTTCTTCATGTGACAACAGCAGCTGAAATCTGGAAAAAGTTGTGTCAGCAGTATGAAGGGCATGGCAAGCAGACTATAGCCTATCTAATAGGTGAGCTGTTCCATGGCATGCTCTTGGATGACAGTCCAATGGAAAGCCAGCTAAATGCTATGTGGCACAAAGTGCACACACTAAAGTCACTTGGCCAAACTCTCAATGACCCCCTTGTAGCCATTGCTATGGTAATCTCCTTACCACCCTCCTATGCAACACTCTGCACAATCTTGATGTCTTTGAATGACAAGTTGTCAATCAACTCAGTGATCTTGCAGGTTCTAATTGAGGAGAAGTCACATCAACTTGCCTCCAGTGGGAAAACTGCACTTGTCTCCAGGACATCTGCTCAGCAAAGATCAAAAGCAAATGATGACAGAAGAAAGATCAAGTGCAGGTACTGCAAAAAGAGAGGACACAGCAAAGACAAATGTCAAAAAAAGAAAGCTGATGAAGCTTCAAAAAATGCGACATCAGATGACAAGGGAAAGCCAGGAGAGAAGGAAAAGGACAAACTTGCTGCCAAGTTCACACATGTATCCTCTGAGTACAATGTGCTGCTCCACCTCTTTTTAGCACATGCACACAGCCATCCTCCATGCACACACTGGATCCTTGACTCCAGAGCCTCTGCTCACATGAGCTGTCAATACAGTTGGTTCACCTCACTTAAATGGCTCACACCTACACAGCCTATCACAGTCACAAATGGAAACACTGTGCACATGGTCACAGTTGGCCATATAACTCTTGATATGGACCTTGGGGACAGACAGAAAAGTTGCATCATCCTACATGATGTCTACTATGTGCCATCTTTAAGCTC